ACATTTGCTCCACAATTTCAAAGTTCATGGCTCTGCGATTCCAAAGGAAACCCCTCCGCAATTCCAAAAAAATGCCCCATCAATTTTAAAGAAAGCCATTCCGAAAAAAAATGCCCCTCAAAAAAAAATCCTCCCAGATTCAAATATAAATGCCTTGCAATCTTCCAAGGAAATGACTCCTCAATTCCCAAATACATACCTCCACAATTGCAAAGGAAATGCCTCCTCAATTTTAAAGAAAATACCTCAATTCCAAAAAATGGCCGCCTCAAAAAATATTCCAGAAGAAATGCCTCCGCAATTTCAAACGTTTCCGTGATTTTGCTGGGAATGCCTCCCAAAATTCAAAGGAAATAGCTCAACAATCCCCAATCCCCTGCTCAATTCCAAAAAATATCCTCCTCAATAATGTTTTTGAATTGCTCACCCATTTCCTCCACAATGTCAAAGAACGTTGCTCTGCGATTCCAAAAGAAATCCCTTTGCAATTCAAATAAGAAAATACCTCAGCAGTACTTCAGCACAGAATTTCAGACGCTGTCCTCTTAGAATTCGGGAATCAATTTTGGACAAAATTACTAAGGCAAAGAATAAAGGCCCAAACGCAATGTGGGCGCAAGCGGAACGGAAACGGAAAGTTTGACAGTTGTCACAAATGACATCAAGATGTCTAACCGAAGTCGATTTGATACTAACTAGCTTTCAATCCGACAAATACGCTTACTCAGATCGGGCCTTTCCGCTGCTGCTGCCGTTCCGCTTCCGCTGTCATTGCTCTTGGGCCTTAAGGCTGTCCACGAGACAGTTGCGATCAGCTGACTTTTTTGTTTACCAAGAACTTTTGACAGTTCTTTTTTTGACAGTAGAACTGACAGTTCACTCTCATATGAATTTCTGCTTTGTTTATGCTTACATTCAGCACCATTAACACCAGATCACTCACACACTCTTGACTTCTAGCTGTCAGTTCCACTGAGAAACGTCTCTTAGATCACCTTATTTCGACGAACTTTCCTCGGCAAATTTTTCAAGAATTGTCTCCACTTCTGGAACGGATTTTGGAGGCGACAGTTACTACCGATGTTCGGGGAAACTTTTCCTCAATTATGAACGAGATTTCCTGAAGCATTGTCACGAATTCTAAACGGAAATCCTTTCAAAACATCATGCAGACAGAGTTGCATCAGAATTTACGAAATCACTTTTGACAGGAATTCCTCCACAATTCATAAGGAAATAACGCCACAGCTTTACATTGAATTCGCGAGAAAGTCCCTTTCAATTATTGCATGATTTTGAAATTTAATTCTGGACTGAATTTCAGCGGAAACTCGTACCCAATCGTAGCGTCAATTCCGAGGAACTGTTTCTTCAACTTAAAGGGAAGTTCTGAAGAAAATCGTGTCGCTGTTTGGCTTTGCAATTCCGAGGAAGATTTTCCTGTGAAATCCGGAGTGGAAGACATTTTATCATAAATCCAACATGGTCTAGCTAGTGCTTTTATCAATCTCAAATGCATATTTTTTTATTAAGGTTATTCGGAATTCAACTCCGGATGGAGATTCCTCTGCACTTCTGCGAGGAATTCCGAGATGGACCTACCCCTAAATTTCTTCGAATATCATGCGAGATGTGCAATCAATTTAGGATGCTGTCCTCTTAGAATTCTGGAAGAAATTTCGAAGTAAATTGCTAAGGCAAACAATTCCGGCCAACATTCCCCGGTCATTTTGGGAGAATTTTCTCCAATTCTGGAACGGATTTTGGTGGTGACAGTTCTTACTCGTTTGTGAGTAAACTTTTCCTCAATTCCTATGCTAGCTAGGTCTCTATATCTAGGTCTAGCTAATGCTTTTACCAATCACAAATGCCTATTTTTTATAAAGGTAATTTGGAATTCAACTCCGGATGGAGATTCCTCTGCACTTCTGGGAAGAATTCCGAGATGAACCCACCCCTAAATTTCTTCGAATATCATGCGAGTAGTTCAAGAAATTTCGGATGCAATTCTGGAATAAATTTCGGATTAAGTTACTAAGGCAAAGAACTCCGACGCACATTCCCCGGCCATTTTGGGAGAAGTTTCTCCAATTCCGGAACAGATTTTGGTGGTGACAGTTCCTACCCATTTTTGAGGAAACTTTTCCTCAATTCCTTCCTAATTATTATGAACGAGATTTTCAAAAGTATTGTCCCTAAATTTCGGAGAAAATCCTTCTCATTTACGAAATTACTTTCGCCAGAAATTCCTCCATAATTCATCAGAAAATGCCTCCACAGATTTACTTTCAATTCATGAAAAAAATCTTTTCAATTGTTTCATGATTTCCTGGAATGACTTTCAGCGGAAACTCCTACCCAATTTAGGTAGTTTTTTTTTTAGTTTTTAACAATGTTGATAATTTTTTTCCTGTGGACAAAATTTTCGCATTGAAATTCGGAGAGGAAAGCTTTCCTCAGGTCCTGCAGATCCGGACGAAATTTCTCGGAATAAATCTGTTTCCTAAATTCCTAAAATCCTTTCCAAAATCTAGCTCTGTTTGCATTAGAATTTTGGAGGAAATTCGTCAATTCCTTCCTAATTATTATGATCGAAATTTCCATAAGCATCTTCTCAAAATCTAAACGGGAAACCTTTCATAACAGATTTGCTTCAGAATTTCGGAGAAAATCCATCTCATTTACGAAATTCGTCCATAATTCATCAGAAAAAGCCTCCACAATTTCACATTCAATTCATGAGAAAGTCCTTCCCAATTGTTAAATAATTTCGAAATTAAATTCTAGAATGAATTTCAGCAGTTTTTAGCAATGTTGAGGGAAAATTTTTCCGGTGGACTAAATTTTCGGATTGAAATCCGGAGAGGAAAGCTTTCCACAGGTCCTGTAGATCTGTTTCCTAAATTCCTAAAATCCTTTCCAAAATCTAGCTATGTTTGCAGTAGTATTTTTGAGGAAATTCCTCCGCAATTTTGCACTTAGGAAGTCCACCACAAGTTACTGCATAATTTCGGACGAAATCCGGAATCTGCTCCCCAAAAGTTGAGAAGGATTCCGGTGGAATTTTGGAGAACATCCGAAACGAATTTTGGAGCAAATACCTCCGCAATTCGTATGAACATGCTTACGCAGTTTTACATTGAATTTTTGAGGAAGTATTCTATCGTAACGAAAGAAGTAAATGAGCAGTTCCGCGCCAAATGACGAATCGATATGATGCGAACTTCCCCGATTTACACGAAATTTTTCATTTTGCCGTTCTGGAAGGAATTTCGGTAGAAATTCCTCTGCAATTGAATTGAATCTGAGGATTTTTTTTCTATAATAGAAAAGGAAAGACCTCCACAGTTTCCAACTAAATTGCACCCATTTGTGTTGATTTTTCTAGAAGTGTTTTTTCTGAATTCCTCCATAATATACCGGATCAAATTTGTCTTAAGAGATCCGGTAGCAACTTTTCAAAAACCAAAATAATTCAACAAGAATACTTTCAAAAGTCAAGTTGCATTTGCATCGGAATTCAGAAGAAACGAATTTTTAAGGAAATGCCTCCACAATAAGAAACTCCCTCCCCTCTCAGATTTGCATTGTATTTCTGAGCAATGTCATTTTTGATTGGTCCGTAGTTCCGGAAGAAATTACTGCAATGTTGAATCCAATTGCAAAATATATTCCTCCGCAATTGAACAATGAATGCCTGAAGACATTTTTGCTAGTTCGAGAAAATTTTTACTCAATTCCTCCATAATTCCGGACTAAATTTCTCTTCAGATTCGGAAAATGTTTCATTCCAAAAATTACAATAGCAATTCGGAAGCAATGCCTCCACAGTCTGGAACAAATTTCAATTCATCCGCAATTCCTGGCGATATATTTTCTCTTCAGACATTCGGAGCAACCCAATGTTGGCTTCTGTGGCAGTTTCAGTAGAAAACTTTTCCAAATTCAACGGAGATTTTCCCAACTATTTCATGGGAAATTGATCTCGGAGGAAACGAATCGAGAGACTGATTCCCACAATCTCCGACAGAGTCATTACAGACAAGTTCAAAAAACTCCAGTGGAAATTGTACATAATTCCTAAGAATTACGGACACTCCTGATTCAGAGCTGAAGTTGTTAGCTTTCTAAAATTATGAAGGGTAAATTTGCTAGAAATTCTCCGAATCCATCCAAACCCCTTCCATTGAACTTCCGCTTCGTAGCGGCAGCCAATAACCAACGAATCCGTAAGCAAATGAAAAAGAACGCCAACAATACGAATCCAGCCGTTTATCCGCCTTGCATAATTCAGATAACCGCCACCATCGCCCCCTTCTTGAGTTTAGTTTTCAGCCGATCAATGCATGAAAAATGCATTGCCTGCTTACGTGTTTCGCATCGTGCTCGGACCTAACCTATATGTAAGTGCTTCAAGCAAGCAATCGTTGTTTTAAAAATTCAAAACGATTTGATTTCTATTTGTGGTCGCCGGTCGGCTCCTCCTCCTATCCTACCCTGCGCTGCTTCTCTTGTAAGGAAAAGAAAACACACCACCACAACACTATCCTGCTTACTAACACATCCATCTTAGCTTCTTCTTCTTTGTTATCCTATAATCCGAAGAAAACAAATTGACTACCATAACAAAAGCACATAACCTATAAAATGTAACAAAGTAGCCCTGATAGTGCGTTCGCTTTCTGCACTGCGTTGCCACTAGTTACTCGGGGGTGTCTTCGATCGATCTAGTTCATCAGTTCGCTAGTGCATAACTGAATCGTTGTTGTTGTTGAAAGTTTTACTCTAACTTTGCCAAAACATTCTATTTCGTTAACTTAACTCTTTGAACGCTTTTCGCCCGCAATATACCGTATATGTACTAGAAACCGAAAGGCAAAAAAAAAACAGTCTGTACAAAGCAATGTTGACTAAGCTCGAGTAAAAATCCTTCGTGGCAAATTTGCAAAACCTCCACTAAATTGATTAATTGTCACATCGATGCGGTTTGTTTCTTCTCGTTTTTCCTAGATTGAAAAGTTGGGATTAAACACTTTATAGAGCGGATCGCCTTTCCAAAAGTCACATTTTGTTTGTGTGATGGTTGGTTTGGTGGTGACAGTGGTGAGTTCAGTCTGTGACGTTGGTTAATCTAAAACGTGATTTAAAGCTAACTTCCTATACAAATCGCGAGAAAACAGATCGAACGAGCTGGCACAACAGCGGCTGCAAATAACCTCAAAAAGCGATTTATTAACTGCCAGCGCTGGAGCGCTGGAGCACACTTCGCGTACGTACCTAACCGCATTATATTGGATTTTTCGGAGAGAACCCTTGAAAAATCAATCAACCCACACTCGACGTCGACGACGACGGCTCATCCAGAAGCAGGTGAAAGTGCTCGAAAGTTTATGCTCTGCTCCTTTCAAGTCTTTTGCTCAACCGATACATTTACAACAGGGCATATAGTCGTAGCAACCGGTGCTCGAGCGAGATGACAGTTTGTTGCTGTTGCTATCTTCGCAAACAATAAACCATTGTGAAAAGAAGGCGGTAGAGGTTTTTGTTTTCGTGTTTTTAACCTCTATCGGCTTTAATGGAAAATGCTTGTTCCTGCTGCCGCACCAGCCGAGCCCCCCTTCGGAACAAATGGCGCCTGGTACCAGTAAAGGTGAACCATTAATTATTGATGGCTGGATATTACACACGTTTTCCCGGAAGCCGTTGCCAACGCCCGCTGTTTGCTGCCTTATTTGCGGTGGACAATGAACGAAGGCGTCCGCTGTTTTCGCTCCAGTTCACGGTGAGATTTGCTCGGATTGACACCTGAAACGAAGGGAAAAGAACGGTAGAAGATTAGTGGTCGTGCTGCTTGAGGGCGAAGCCAATCGAGGTGGAAAGTTGATCTGAGAAGCAGTTATTCTTGGTTAAAAACGTTCTGCGTGCGCTCTTGTTTAGCTGTCAAAAAAGAAATGAAAATGTATCGACGAAAAGCCCACCCCCGACCTTAGCTATGCTTTGCTCTTTGTGTATGGATTTTTCTTCAAAGATAACTATAATTGGGAGTTTTTTTTAATAAAACTTCCATTTTCCTCTGTTTCAGTTCAAATGATGGCTCCGGATGGATAAAGCTTTGAACGTGAAAAGAAAATAACCCTGGACTATGAAACAGGAGTGACCTCAAAAAGAGATACATCGGAATGCGACAATCAACCGGTATGTATCAGGTATGTCAAAAATAAAGATCAGTTACTTTTCAATTAATTTCTAGAATTACAATGCTCAGTTATAACATTGTCTCAACGTTAAGCATATTATTTGAGTGTATTGGATATGGCAGCCAGCGTTGCCAGATTGTTTTCAAGCTTATCGGTATCAAATGTTTAAAAAAAAATTGATATCGAAGGAACCTGGAAGCCAGAAGCAATAGTTTAATTCCATCTCAGTAGTCCTGCTTATTTGACTTTTCATTTTTCTGTTCCAATATCAAACTGTCCTTGAAATAAACCACACGTTAATTGAAAGAGCTCCGCTTTCACTCATAAAAGGTTATAGGCACCGCTACGAGAGAAGCTGTGTGCGGTATTCCGCAGTTCAACGGTGGTTCCGGATTTCAGCACTGGAGCTTCAGAGTCAAGATGTTCCTGGATTTCGTGGGAGTATTGAACACTTTAACTGAAGAAGCACCGGCAGTAGCAGCTGAAAAGGTGAAATTTGAAGAGGCAGACCGGAAGGCCAAGCCATATATTGTCAGCTTCCTGGCGAATGAATGTCTGGCGATCGTCTGCGAGAAGAAGACGGCCAATGACACCTTTGCAAAGCGATCAATTATCACTCAAAACCGGGTGCGAAAGCAGTTGAATCGTCTGAAGTTGAGAGATGGTGATTCGATGAGAGCGCACTTGCTGGTGTTCGAAAACTTGACCTGGCAGCTGAAAACCGCTGGGGCGAAGATCGAGGAAGCTGATTTGGTCATTTCGCTGTTCCAGACTCTACCGGATGCGTATGACCCCTTGGTGACGGTCTTGGAAAATATTCTTGAGGAAGATGTTGTTGAGTTTGGAGATCGTGAAGCAACGCTTATTGGCGGAAGAGCTGAAAAGAACCGAACGTCACGAAGACTCAGGTGAGATCAAGGCTGCGGCATTTTCTGGAGAGAAAAAACGCAAGTCTACCAAGTTCCAAGGCAAGTGTCACAATTGTGGAAAACGTGGCAATTTGAAGAAGGACTGTCGGCAGAAAAGCGGTGAAGCTAATTCGGCAGATCAACGGAATTCAGTAAGTTTCATTGCAAGTCGCAAGATTGAAAAGGCACCACGTGGAAAGATGGTATTCAAGCTCGATTCGGGTTCAAGCGACCACCTAGTGAATGATTTGGCAGTATTCTCGGAAATTCGTGATTGTGATTCAAGTAGCGAAGGACGGAGAAACACTGGTATCAAAAACGGTTGGAACCATCGTCGGAAACAGTAACAAGAACACGTCGTTGAACATGAAGGATGTTCTCTATGTCCCCGAGCTTCGCGACAACCTGATGTCCGTTAAAAAGTTGGTGAAGGCAGGCGTTGTGGTAATTTTCTGCGGTTCCGTTGCGGTTCTCAAGAAAAACAACGAAGCCATTGCTACTGCGAACTTGAGAGGTAACCTGTACGAGATCGAGGTAGACATTCCAGTGTCTTCGGCAAATATGTGTCAAACTGAAGCGACCAATTTGTGGCACCGAAGGCTTGGACACCTGAGTCAAAAGGGAATGAAAGCGATCATAAGTAACAATCTTGTGGATGGTGCTGATTTCAGAGCAGACAAGCTGGCGTTCTGTGATGCGTGCGTGCAAGGGAAACAATGTCGTGAACCATTCAACGGTAACGCCCGAGAGCAACAAGGCCGTTGGAAAGAATTCATTCGGACGTATGCGGACCAATCGAACCTACTGCATGGGATGGTTCGAAATATTTTGTTTCCTTCATTGACGACCATACCCATTTTGCAATGCTGTTCCTGATGAAGAGGAAATCGGATGTGTTTGATCGATTCCGCGACTACGAAGCAATGGTAACGGCGCAATTCAACATGTAGATCTCGAAACTAACAATAGATCAAGGCCGTGAGTATCTTTCTAACAACCAAAAGCGTTTTTACTCACAGAAAGGTATCCAAATCGAACCACCCGTTGCTTACACGCCTCAACAAAACGGCGTTGCGGAGAGGTTCAACCGAACGATTGTTAATCGATTCTCAAGTCCCGAAAAAGACGTGGTCAGAAGCTGTCATTACTGCCGTGTACCTGGTGAACAGAAGTCCTACTGTAGCCCTGCCGAGAAGTATGACACCAGCTGAATGCTGTTACGGTCAGAAGCCAAGTCTAGAAAAACTTCGAATTTTCGGATGCAAGGCGTTCGCTTGGATTCCCAGCCAACATCGAAAGAAATTGGATGCCAAGAGTCATGAAACCGTCATGGTCGGATATGCACCAAACGGCTACCGACGGTGGGACAAGAAGTCAAGAAGAATTATGATTGCTCGTGACGTGAAGTTTCATGAAACCTGCTTTCCCTACAAAGGTAATCCTGAAAATCAAGCAGATACACCACTCGTTGTAGTACCGTACGAGCAAGAGGGGGAAGTTGTTCGTGATTCAATGGAACCGTCACCTAAAGAGAGGCCGATGTCACGTGAGAATACTCCGATTGCTGATGATGCACACGTTTTGGAGGCGGATGATACCGGAGTGCTCCCTTCGCAACTAGAACCACAAACGAAGTGACAGACGGAGCGGCTCGAAAACTTTGGTGACTAACCTGCTATTTCAATTTTTCAGTGTACCACATGGCAACACCACTACTACTAGATTGTACCACATGGCAACACTACTACTGGATTGTACTAGCATTTTCACCAAATGTATTAGAATCAGGGCTCTACAATTTCGAAGCTCTAAAATGAACTCGTGTTTTGTTTCTCTCATAGTGTTCGACGCTTCATTTCTATAACGCCTAGCTAGACTATCAGCAAGAAACGAAGATAAAAAAGCAGGACGCTTAGAAGGAAAGGCTGGCTATGGAACTTCTCGTCGTTGCTTTGCTCATCGCTTTCAATGTAACTAACGTCGATTTTCTAGTTAAACGAACTTCATTATGGCTTTCAATCCCCTTTCACGAACACTCTATCTCCGCTCTTTCAATTTGTTTAAAATGCGTTACGTCCCGTTTTCGATCATTTTTTTAGATAAATATATGGATGGAAAATAAATTAGAAACATGACGTGTAATCTTCAAGTGTTTTGACGTGAGAAATGCTTTAAATGTGTTATTTCATTTTCCGTCATATACGTCATGAAATCTCTGTTGATGTGTTTCATGAAAGAGAAAACTATCAAAGTCGAGCGCTCTTTCGCTCATCCGTTTCGATGAAGCTTGAAAGGAAGACCAACGGAGCGACGAGAGAAAGAGAGACAAGCGACTGAACATTTGTTTGTGCACGCCGACTGAGGTTCTAGAATGCTGCAAAGCTGTTTGACTTTAACAGAAAAAGAATGCCAGCAGTCTCTTCGTCGCATCGATTTGGTCGATTGAAGCTGATATTGTGACGCCCTGATTAGAATGTTTTGGTTCTATCTCTTTCACTCTACTCAAAACTGAAATGCATTAAAAAATGACAAAATGATACACTCTTTGCACACTGTCAAAGAATCATTGTACACAAAATCAACTTTGTTCAAATCAAAACAAAAAAACTAACCCATCTGGTGGATGATGGCACAAGCTTCCAAGAAAATTCTATTACAGTGAACCACATTATTTTAATGGATTTCTTCGCCAGTTAGTCGTCTGTCACTTCGTTTGTGCTAGAACAACTCGAGTCCGAAGGACAAGCGATGTTGAGGCGCAGCGAACGGGAGCTCCCCGGTAAGTTGTTAAATTTCTTCACCGGTTACAGAGCAACTTCTGCTGGCTCGTATTCCACAGATGCTCCTCAATGCTACAGTGACATCGAAGCCCGCTGCGATCGTATGAAATAGCTGGAGGCTGTTGATGACGAATTGGGAATCATGAAGGCGAACGGTGTGTGGAAGATGACGCCCTGTCCACGTGGCGTGAAACCTCTCAAATCCATGTGGATATTCCGTGTGAAGGAAGTCGAAGATGGCCAGGCCGCTCGATATAAAGCCCGACTAGTAGCAAAGGGGGGATATTCCTGAAGGCGTCCAGGCTCCAGCAAATATGACCTGCAAGTTGCTGAAATCATTGTATGGATTGAAGCAATCTCCACGATGCTGGAATGAAAAAATCAACAGTGAACTAGTCAAGATGGGTTTCAAGCGGTCCCGCCATGACTACTGCCTATACACACGATGCGCAGAAGGAGACGAGCTGTACGTTGTACTCTATGTGGACGATTTGCTTATCGCAGGGAGGAAATTGGAATCCATCGCACGTATGAAGGAGAAGCTTTCGACTGTGTTTGGGAATGAAGATAGCGTACGATCGGCAAACAGGAGTTCTTCAACTTTCGCAAGAGGCGCACGTGTCAAGAGTCTTGGAGCGTTTTGGACTGGCTGAATGCAATCCAGCTAAATCACCAATGGAGAAGGGACTGCAATTGCAACGAGAGGGGACGCCAACTGAAGAACCCTACAGGGAGCTACTAGGCAGTTTAATGTATATTATGTTGTGCTTTCGGCCGGACTTCTGTTTTCCAGTAGGGTATCTGGGGCGCTACCAGCAAAAACCAACAGAAACACACTGGCAGTGCTTGAAGCGAATCGTTCGTTACCTGAAGGGAAGTGCCAATGCTGTATTGAAGTTCGAACGCAATGACGACCGTCC